GGATGCCGCCGTCTGGACTGGTGTGCCACGGCCCAGGGGTGGGTAAATTATGGTGGATGGGCCGGGGCGGGCGGTGGTGGGTCGGCCACGAGCGCGCCTGCACGCGGTTTGGCGCTTGCGGGGAAGCTTCCCGGAACTTGCCGTGGCGTGGCGTGCGGGGTGCGGTGTGCAGGAGTAGTTTTTTTTTTTTTTTTGAGGGAAGAGTAGTTTTTCTTCGAGTGTTTGGCTCGAGGCAGGCAGTGAAGCCCGAAACAATGGCTGGGTTAATTATCTACTATGGAGTAGTACATGGGAGTGCTTGCTCGCTCTCTTGTGCACGAGTTGTTTTACTGAGATCTCTGGTCATTTTCACTCCTCGTGTCAGATTTGTGTCAAGACAAATTTTATGAAGTTTAAATCTTCACCAAATTTATATTGAAAAACATGAACATCTACAACACCAACTACATATACTACGAATCTACATTTTATAATTAATCTAGCAGTATTGCCTTGACATTGTGAGTACTGATACCATTTTCTGTAAATTTGATCAAAGGACTGATACTTCGAACAAAACTAATATGCACACTAAAAAGGACAAGAGGTAGCATCAGCTTGTAGCTGTACGAAATAGAGAAAAACGTGCAGTACACAGTAAGTTTACTGCTAATCCACGTATCAGTTCGAGAGAGTATCACCTTGTAGCTGTACGAATTACAGTAAGATTACTGCTGATCCACGTACAAGTTTTGACATGACCACGAAATAACAACATAGCGCATTCCGTGCACAAAGAAAAAATTGCAGATCCAGACGAGGGCAACCCATCACGTGACACCTGCTACGCTCGGCATGTGTGCTTTACTAGGCTGCCACAGACGCTTTAAACCTCAAATGCTACTACAGCAGGGCCAGCAAATTCTACCGACTGAATTTCCAGCCAAGGCATGCATGCACGCACGCACGCGCACTTCAGAGACGACCGCAAGCCGTCCACATTATTTCCACACACTTCGTCTCGTCTCAATCAACCGACACACGACGCATACACACAAGTGATAACAACACAGATGGTAGTATATGGAGGCAGGCGACGCCGCTGACTCGGCACTTCTACCGATCGCATCACTCGCTACAGGTGGCTGGCCAGTCAGCCGCTCTTGAGGAACTGGGCGTGGTGCGCGATGTGGTCGTCGATGAAGGTGGCGATGAAGAAGAAGGAATGGTCGTATCCCGGCTGCATGCGCAGGATCAGGGGAGCGCCCGCCGCCTTGCACGCCTCCTCGAAGTTGCCCGCCAGCAGCTGCTCCGCCAGGAACTTGTCATCCTCTCCCTGTTCCACACACTCCCTCTTCCAATCATATAACACACTCCACGCATGAACATGCATAATTATAACCTCGCAACATCTCACTCCCTGCCAGAAAAGGGATGCTACACTTGGAACTTCTAACATGTTGACCTTGATATTGGCAGATTCACTTACTGAAACATGCAATGAACTCCTACCAGTGTTGGCCAATCTAGACGGAAGAAAGTATCACTGGATGAGGAAATCATATCAAAGCTAACCAATCATGCCCAGCTAGAATACCAATCAAAATGGCATCACGTCTTTCAGGCACCAACTCATTTTAAATTGGTCTAGGCCCCAATTTATAACTAACCGATCAATTCCCTGTTGTCCACGAGGATGACTCCATGTTATCACAAGCACCTTACAACAGGATCCTTGTGTCACATCAAGTGAATGGCCGGTTTGAGAATGGAAGGAGGGAGGGAGAGAGGGGAATGATCTCAGAGAAGACTTGCCTCCCATTCTGATTTAGTTGTGCCCAGATAGTTTGAGAATGCTTTCTGACCCCAAGGGCAGTTTATTGGGTTAGCAATTGGAGCAAATGCAGACACCGACTGCATAGGTAAGATAAATTCGCAATGCCAAGTGAGATTTCATGGAAGTAATTACAAGAGAGTACAGATATTGCGTGAAGTAGATGCCTACGGGTTTCCTAATCTGAAAAAAGGTTCATAGACAGGAATTTCCAGATGCAGAGGGTTTAACAAATAGTGTCAAATAGTACCTTGTATTTGTCAGTGTTCTTCAAGTAGATAGTCAGTGCACCGTGCCCTCCCATAGAGTGGCCAAAAATTGATGCACATGACGTGTTAAGCTGTTCAAAGTTGTCAGTTAAAACTTTTGGCAGCTCCTTCACAACATAATCATACATGCGCCAGTTTTTCCACTTCTCATTTGTGGCATTCAAATAAAATCCAGCACCTACGCATAAATAGTCAAGATAGGGAAGTTAGTTACCTCTAGCCACATGCACAACACATAGGCCTATCCATATGACACAATTCTTGAAGTGGTACTTGCATATAAAAACTCAACAAATATAAAGCAGCTGCACCTTCTAAGGGACAAATTCATGAATTCATTATTACCCAAATGATTTAGACCTTGTGTAGAAGAACCTCACAGATTAATGAATAGAAATCCTATTATGACCAAATAACATGTACTCCATTATTGAATCTTTAAGGTCAAAAATAGGTGACAGATGAAAGAAAAATGTCCACATGACATTTCCATTTGCCATATCTGTCAAATTCACTTGGTGAATGAATAGTACATGATGTTTGACTTAACAGGTAACAAAGGCTAAAGAGCAACCACATTATCAGATACCACATTGATAAAAAAAAATCTAATCCACCAGATATAAATCTGCTATGCTTTGCGTAATTAGAAATAAAAACATCTGAGCTGGCGGCACACTGATGGTTGGGAACTTGGGATAAAGCGTGTCACCGCTAGCTGTTAGGACAATCAGACTACTTTCTGGTTGAGTTTTGACCACATAAATATACAGCAATGTCAACATGAAAAGGACTATTCTTCATCTGATGTGTTGATTAAATAATTACTTTCTCTTCAACACCACAAGAGGTTTATCTGTCAACTGCGGCAATTATGTGCAGATGTTTTTTAACAAAAGCAAACAAAATTATAAATATATGCACCGTAACTAACACAATACAAACAAAGCAGCATAAATTTAACACAAAAAATAGCAAACAGTACAGCTACTGGAAGGTTTTCGACGAATGCTAGAAATCGTTTATAAATGGCAATGGAAGTTCATGCGTAATTTGTAGACTCCCATGGAAGTTGCCGAATTATATATCCCATAAAGTGCAAATGGCACAACAAGAGTATCGTAGGTATAGTCCTTACCAACACCAAAATCCCAACTATCTGCCTCCCCTTCTACATTTAGTCCACCTGCATGAAACAAAGGAGTGATGAGAAAAGGAAAAGGTTTAAACAAGGACCAAGATCATATAATGTGTTCATGACAAAAGAAAGGCAATAAGAAGAATACATATGAGATCACATTGAACATTCCAAAAGTTATTTGGTAGTCAAAGGAAACAAAACACTTTGTCGGTTGGCAGAATATCAGGAAAACGGCAGTCATTCATCAAGCTAGAATGCCCATAAAATTATTCAGACTCGACTCTACGCCATCTTTAGGCTGGACAGAAGAATCTGAATCTTATTCCTCAAAAAATTAAAAAATGAAATGTAAAATACAGTTTATACATGTTGCAGACAAGGGGCAGATTGTGTTTTGTTGGCCTTGTTTGGTTATAGTGTCTTCCAGGCTCCAGCCCCGAACAATCCCACTACCGCAAACAATTTTGGACACAATAATCCATGGAGGCACAAAAATGGCATAATATAACCATTAAACAGGGGCAATTCAAACAGTCAAATGGAGGCGTGGTGCTAGCAAATGGACATGGTCTTCAGGACTATTTATGGGTGGATAATGTAACAGACCCAATTGTGTAGTTTACTAATATCTGATCAGTTTTAGCATCTATGGTTGCAAATTGCCCTGAAGCCTCAGCGTTCAGCAAACACATCACAAACGTAATCATCAAACAAATAGACGACATGGTACCACAAGTCATGTGCACTGCCACCATTGACACGATGCAATTACACATTAGTGATTAGAGTTAGGCCCTTAATAGTCCCTGAGGCAGAAAATGCTTGGAATTGAGTGTATCCATATGCACGCACAAAACTTACTCTGAGGCATCAGAGGTATTTTCCGTCGAAATTCAACATGCAGAATTCAAGCCGCTCATACCTATCCTGATTGATCTCAATTTTCTTTTCCCTTTTATTTTTCTTTTTCTTTTTTGATAAAATAAAAAAAGAATTGGTCGTGAACCCGTGGTAATTGCAGGCATATGGGTACATCCTACAATTTGTCTGGTAGAGGCATCCCAATTCCCGAATCTAAATGCATAAACCACCAAAAAATTCCACAAAAAAAAAATCTTAACCTTACTGCGTTTCGCCAGTCGCCACATCCCCCCACCAATTCCAATATTCCACTCACAATTGGATGGTACGGCCGCGGAGGGAGGGGCAGGCATAAACCCTAGAAATTGAACGCGGCGAGAGAGGGGGGTTAAAGTTAAACGTACGCGGGGAGGTGTCGGGGGCGACGAGGGCGACGCCGTGTGCCGCGGCGGCGCGCTGGGCGCCGGACTTGATGATGAAGTTCTCGTCGGTGCAGGTGAGGCCGGAGAGCCAGTACAGCACCTGCACCACACCCACGACAACGCCGTCAGATCTCTAGGCCGGAGACGGGGAGTGCGGTCCTGGGGGCGGGAGGTAGGGTACGCACGGGGAGCTTGGAGGCCGGGGACGCGGGGAGGAAGAGGGAGAAGGTCATGGGGCAGCCGAGCGAGGCGCTCTGGTGGCGGAAGCGGAGGTTGTGGCCGCCGAACATCTTGGTCTTGCTCAGCTGCTCCAGCGCCGCCGCGGGAGGGGGAGCGGCCGCCGCCATCGCGCGGTCGCCGGCGGGGTGTGAGGGAGTGGTGGTGGGTGGAGACTGGACTGGAGATGGGAGAGTGTAGATTCTAGAAGGGGATGGATCCCAATCCAAACCCCATGGTCACCCGGTGGCCTCTTTTAAGTGGGACCTCCTCCTATCTGTCGCTCCGTTGGTATTTTCGTATTCTCATCTTGTTTTTCCTTGGTTTTTTTCTTTTCGGTCCCAAAAACACGACAATAATTAATTTAAAAACATTAAAAAGCATTTTAAAACAAGGAAACCATTTTATAAACTCCTATGAACATTCTTTTAAACAAAAAATTCAAAAAGCATGATTTTTAGAACTTTTGTGGTCATTTTTAATACTTAATTTATTTATTTTGCTATTTTTTCAAAGTTAGTTTTTCAGAAAATATAAAATCCTAAAAATTATGAACGTTTTAAAAAATTATGAATATTTTAAAAATTATAAACAATTTTACCAACATTGTTGAAAAATAATAATAAAAGACAAAAGACAAAAGGGTAAAAAAGTATAAATAAAATAACGAAGGAAGACAAATAAAAATAAAGTGGCAGCTTCTATAATGTTGAAAAAATCGGATTCTATGTAGACATAATTGCGGCAACTCATTACTTGTAACGCCCACGATGCGGCTATATCTCCCACGTGTCGAGGCACGACTTAAAGGCATAACCGCATTGTGGTTTTGTTGGAAGAAAGATCATCTTCACACAATCCCATGTAATGAACAAGAAAAGGATAAAGAGAATTGGCTTACAATTGCCACGTCACACAATTCTTAAATAATTCATACATCATCCAAAATACACACATAGACCGACTATAGTCAAATCCAAATGAAAAGAAGATAACCCCAAATGCTAGATTCCCGATCGTCCCAACTGGGCTCCACTACCGATCATCAGGAAACGAAACATAGTAACGACCAAGGTCCTCGTTGAACTCCCACTTGAGTTCGGTAGCATCACCTGCACTGGTATCATCGGCACCTGCAACTGTTTTGGTAATATCTGTGAGTCACGAGGACTCAGCAATCTCAAAACTCGTGAGATCAAGACTATTTAAACTTATGGGTAGGATAAGGTAATGAGGTGAAGTTGCAGCAAGCGCTAAACAAATATGTTGGCTAACATACGCAAATAAGAATAAGATTGGAAGCTACGCAACGAACGTGAAGCTAGAAGTGATTAAGAAATGATCCTGAAACTACTTACGTTCAAACATAAACCAAAACCGTGCGGCTACACACGCGGTTGGTTCATTTTAATTAAGTCAAGTGTCAAGTTCTCTACAACTGGATATTAACAAATTCCCAACTGCCACATAACCGCGGACACTGCTCTCGAAAGTTTATACCCTGTAAGGATGTCCCAACTTAGCCCATCACAAACTCTCACGATCAACGAAGGATATTCCTTCTCCCGAAAAGACCCGATCAGTCTCGGAATCCTGGTTACATGACATTTCGGCAATGGTAAAACAAGACCAGCAAGACCGCCCGACTGTGCCAACAAATCCCGATAGGATCTGCACGTATCTCATTCTCAGGGCACACCGGATGGGCCAGACGTCGGGTTGGCTGAGACCCTAGTTGCCCAGGGGGCGCTGGACATCGCCCAGTTCGGACCAACACTCAGAGGAGCACTGGTGAAAGATCGTGGATGTCGCCTAGAGGGGGGGTGAATAGGCGTTTTAAAATAATTACGATTTAGGCTTGAACAAATGCAGAATAAACCTAGCGGTTAATTTGTCAAGCACAAAACCTAAAACAACTAGGCTCACCTATGTGCACCAACAACTTATGCTAAGCAAGATAAGCAACTATGCGATAGCAAGATATATGACAAGAAACAATACGGCTATCACAAAGTAAAGTGCATAAGTAAAGACCTCGGGTAAGAGATAACTGAGGCACGCGAAGACAACGATGTATCCCGAAGTTCACACCCTCGCGGATGCTAATCTCCATTTGGAGCGGTGTGGAGGCACAATGCTCCCCAAGAAGCCACTAGGGCCACCGTAATCTCCTCACGCCCTCGCACAATGCAAGATGCCGTGATTCCACTAAGGGACCCTTGAGGGCGGTCACCGAACCCGTACAAATGGCAACCCTTGGGGGCGGTCACCGAACCCGTACACTATGGAAACCCTTGGGGGCGGTCACCGGTACCTGTCAAATTGCTCGGGGCGATCTCCACAACCTAATTGGAGACCCCGACGCTTGCCCGGAGCTTTACACCATAATGATTGAGCTCCGAACAACACCAACCGTCTAGGGCGCCAAGGCACCCAAGAGGAACAAGCTCTAGGGTGCCCAAACACCCAAGAGTAATAAGCTTCTCAAACTTCACTTCCACGTATCACCGTGGAGAACTCAAATCGATGCACCAAATGCAATGGCAAGGGCACACGGAGTGCCCAAGTCCTTCTCTCTCAAATCCCACCGGAGCAACTAATGCTAGGAAGGAAAATGAGGGGAAGAACAAGAAGGAGAACACCAAGAACTCCAAGATCTAGATCCAAGGGGTTCCCCTCACATAGAGGAGAAAGTGATTGATGGAAATGTGGATCTAGATCTCCTCTCTCTTTTCCCTCAAAAACTAGCAAGAATCCATGGAGGGATTGAGAGTTAGCAAGCTCAAAGAAGGTCAACAATGGGGGCAAAAACGAGCTCAAGATATTTTGTTCATTGGGGAAGAAGACCCCCTTTTATAGGAGGGGGAAATCCAACCGTTATGTGCTTAGCCCGCACACGAGCAGTACTATCGATCCTGGTCCCGGTACAACCGGGACTCACAGTATACGCACAGAACCCTACCAGGCGATACAACCGGGCAACCAGGCGGTAGCACCGGTTGAGAGGAACAACCGGACCAACCGTCCAGCCACCGCTCAACCACCGCATAGGAACATAAGGGAGTCACCCCTAAGTACGGTAGTCGAGCGGTACCGGGCCGGTGCAACCGCATGGCCTTGAGCGCTCGGGCGGCTAAGTCCTGAGCGGTAGAACCACTCCGGACACCGGTGGTACCGGTATGACCGGACCAACCGGGCCACCACCGCCCGAGTACCGCATCAAAACAGAGGCCTGACCGGTACTTGGGCGGTGCCTGGCCGGAACAACCGCCCAAGTCTTTGCTGAGCAAGTTGGCGGTACCACCGCCCGGAAGCAGCGGTACAATGGCTGAGAGCTCCAAGTGGTACTACCGCTGGGGCACGCGGTACTACCGCTGGGACCAGACAAAAACCACTTCCAAGAAAACAAGAACTGCCATAACTTCTGCATATGAGCTCTGAATTGAGCAAACTCAAGCTTGTTGGAAACAAGACGACGAGTAGCATCAAAACAGCGAGGTATGCCAACAAAAAAGGAGTGAAACCTCCAACAGAGAAGAACCGGCAAAACCTCCAACATCGAAAACATCATAGAAGAAGCATGCGAACTCAGTTTTCGATGAACTCAAGCTTGTCATCAAGATGACCATAAGCTCTAAGACTCACAAATGGAACCAAACAAGAACCAAGAAAGATGATGCAAGGATGCAATGGTTTGATCTCTCTACGAACGATACGATCAAGCTACTCATCGAGAGCCCCCCTTGATAGTACGGCAATCGATCCTATAACCCGGTCTCCCAACTACCATTATGAGACCGGTAAAATAGAAAACCTATCAAGGGCAAACCTTTGCCTTGAACATAGTCCACTTGAGCTAGATGATGATGATCTTGACTTCCTCAAGTTGGACCACCTTTCTTGATTGTGTTGGCTCGATGAAGACTAGTTGATTGCTCCCCTATACTCCACTATGGGTGAGCCACTCTTTGGCACATCTTCACAAGTCCATCATCACCACAAAGGACGGCAAGCTTCAAGCATTTGATCTCTTCGTGATGCTCCACTTGAACTTGCACACCGCAACCTAACCCCACAAAGAACTCTCACGAAGACCATGGGTTAGTACACAAAGCGTGATTGACAATTCTTACCATACCATGGGATCACTTGATCCCTCTCGGTACATCTTCTGCGCTTTGTGAGTTGATCAACTTGATTCACTCTTGACTTAGTCTTGATCAACCTTGAACCTTTTCAGTTCTCTTCATTTGAATGATGTCTTGAAGGTAGACATGAATGATCACACAATCTTCTTCTTCAAGACATGCTTGCAATAAGCTCAACTCTCACATGACCAATCTTTGGATAATTCCTTGAATAACACCTTGGTCGACACAAACTCTCCTTGAAATCAACACATGCACTCCAAGAAAAGCCTATGGACAAAACCTTCAAATATAACTCAAGGAAACCATTAGTCCATAGAGATTGTCATCAATTACCAAAACCAAACATGGGGGCACCGCATGTTCTTTCAACTGGCCCCCGGGAGGGTTAAAATAAAGATGACCGTCGGGTTTGCAACCCCAAGGGAAAGTTATAGGCTGTTAGGCAAATGTAAAACCAATGTTGGGCCTTGCTGGAGGAGTTTTATTCAAAGTGAACTGCCAAGGGGGTCCCATTATTGGGGAACGTAGTAATTTAAAAAAAATTCCTACGCACACACAGGATCATGGTGATGCATAGCAACGAGAGGGGAGAGTGCGTCCATGTACCCTCGTAGACCGAAAGCGAAAGCGTTAGCACAACGCGGTTGATGTAGTCGTACGTCTTCATGATCCGACCGATCAAGTACAGAACGCACGGCACCTCCGAGTTCTGCACACGTTCAACTCGATGACGTCCCTCGAACTCCGATCCAGCCGAGTGTTGAGGGAGAGTTTCGTCAGCATGACGGCGTGGTGACGACGATGATGTTCTACCGATGCAGGGTTTCGCCTAAGCACCGCTACGATATGATCGAGGTGGATTATGGTGGAGGGGGGCACCGCACACGGCTAAGAGATCAAGAGATCAATTGTTGTGTCTATGGGGTGCCCCCTAGCCACGTATATAAAGGAGTGGATGAGGGGAGGGGCCAGCCCTCTCT